TTGATATCGAGCAGGGAGGGAACATGCACACAAGTGCTGTGTGTAGACACACTGATATGAAGCAACTGCAGAATGACGGTTACACAAGTGAACACAAGTAATCTCAGTTCAATTAACTAGATGTATATCGCCACCTATTGTTCGTCTTGGGCAACGTTTGCACATTCAGAATGGGTATCAGTCAGTCAGTCAGTCAGTCAGTGACCTTCTGAGAGGTTCAGCCAAAATCTAAAGAGTTTCACATTTGGGTCGTTCTCCATCTGGAGTGCGAATTCGGGTGGATGCTGTTTTTCAAAAATCTATTTCTTTCATCCCAAAACTAAATAATATTAATATGTCCATTAACATCTCCTACTATCATATATGCAAAAAGGAGATCTTAATTCCAAACATATTTTACAGTCACTGGTGTTGTAGGAATGTGGTGTAACACCAGTGACGGTGACTCCAGTGACATTCTGGTTAAAACTGAGGATTCTGTAAATTGTCTGACTCGTTGGCCGTCAGGTGACCTTGTGCAACTATTTAAAATCAGTAATAAAAATGATATACAGCATTATTTTGACAACATTTTTATTACCCAGCCATTAAAGCACATAACACCAGCGGCTGATAGAAGTTATGAGCTGCTTGATAAACAAAATGATTAATAAATTAATGAAATATAGTAAGCGAGTGTGACTCATCTTCTCATGCCTTGAGACGCTTTCTCTCTGATTAGCCTCGACCCAAAGAAGCAGTTTAATAGAGCTGAAAATACTGTGTTAAAATCTAATACAAGAGTCCTGATAACACCAGTGACCAAAATCTCTATTTTTAAATAAAATATTTTTTTAAATGTAGTACAACGTTAATGATATAAAAAGTAAACATGAATCTGTTTTATACAAATGCCTAAGTTAAACCTCTTAAAAATATTGTTTTAAATTAAAAATAGTTTCTCAATTGTAGAAAATTGGCTTTGTGACGAGTTGTTTTACAGCTGCAGAGCGACTATGAAACAGGATAAAAAAAAAGAAAAATCAGAGAATCATAAGGGAAAGTGTTATTAAATCTTAGATCAACTGTGTAAATGTATAATACTGACTTTCGGAGCTGAGCCTGGTATTTTAAGCATCATTTTAAGCCCTGCAACCTTTGTGACATGGTTTCCCACTGCAAATGGAGAATGACCCATTTTTTAGATCACATTCATTGTAAATAAAAGTAAATGGCTTCAAGAAGTCATGTTATTAAGAAGTTGGCCAGATTAAAAGGCAGGAATAGCCGGCTTATTAACTCACATCGTCGCTGTCGGATCAAAACCTCGTATCTCCAGCAAAGTATCTTTACAGGAGAGGTAAAACAATCCTTTATGTTTCAGTGCAAGTTAATGTAACAAAGCTTTATTTCAAATCATTTTGAGCCATCTCTTGGTCCATGCGGCGTGAAATTGCGCTATGGTGTAAAGAGTAATGGATGTTTTCACATTATTTAAAAGAAAATATTAAAAACTGACAAAAATGGAGATGGTTTTGTTACCACAGCGACAAAATGCTTCTATTCGTTTTCTGTTTATCAACGTTTTCCCGAGCTGAACTGATAAGAGCTGAAGAAACTCTAAACTCGGCAGCGCTTTGGTCCTCCAGAGCCTGAAATACTCAGCATCACAGCCTGCAATGAAAAGCATCACCTCTGAGAAAAGACATACAGCTGCACAGCTACAGCAGTCAGCAAGAAACTCCAGCTGGGGGAGATGTGGAGACATCCACCATGAGATCTGTCAGGTGTCTCTGAGGTTTGACTGACAGCTGAGGACCTGAACAAATAAGTCCCTTAGAGAGAGAGAGAGAGAGAGAGAGAGTCCCTCACGACAGTGGAAATCTTTCCCTCCTCTATCATGAAATATTCACACAAACACGACAGATGCGGCTGTGAGCGTTCACACCAACGTACACAGAGCGGCTAATGAGCAGATGTTGTCCTATTAGACGTGGTTGATGTCTGTTATGAAACACACTAAAGGTCAGCTAGTGTGTGTGTGTGTGTGTGTGTGTGTGTGTGTGTGTGTGTGCACTCCAGACTTTGTAAAGTGCTTTTAAATAAACATTCCATGTTTATTTCTTTGTTAAGTAAGAAACAATATCATTTCTTTTTCACTTCTTTTTGGTTCCTTAGATTAAGTTTTATTTTAGGCTTAATGTTGTAAAAAGTCCTATGACAATATGGATACGGTGCTACACAAAAGTCAGAGAACACCCTTCACCCTTAATTTCCAGTTAAAATGGGTATTAAGTACAAGTTATTAGTTTCTCGTTGTCAAGAAGAAAGCAAAAAACTATTTAACAGAGAATTACACAGAAGCCTCAACAACAGAACATAATATCTGCATTTTTCATTATTTAGCATTTCCACTCTTTACTTTGATTACAGCTTCCATTATTTTCAGGAGACTCACTTTCAGTTTCTCAAAGAATCTGCAGACACAGCTTCAAAGTTCAGTCTTAGAAGTTGGTTTAGCATTTTCCACTGCTCACAATCTAAGTAATAAAACATGCTCAGTGATGTTGAGGTCTGGACTCTGGGGTGGTCAGTCCATTGTTCTGAGAACACTATCAGCTTCTTGACAGCTACACATCCTTTCAGACTCATTGCACTGAGTGGAAGTGCAATGGCATTCCACAGTGGAAGGATTGACAGAAACTCCTGTGGATTTTTTTCAGATCTGAAGATTTTCTCCTTTCTCACAATGATGAAAGCTTGAAGTGCTGTTTATCTGACGGTGGTAGTTTTAGTGTCTACTAGGTCTTGCAGGTGGTTCTTAGGAGTCATATTTTCTTTGGAGCTTTTAATCTTTTTTTAAACTTCAATTTTGGAAACTCCTGTGTTTTCACTTTGACTTTTCCCTGCAAGTGGATTATTTTATATCTAATCTCTTTACAATATTTCCTGAGAAATGAATAACTTGTATGTAATTGCCTATTTGACTGGAAATTAAATCGATGAAGGGTGCTCTCTGACTTTTGCACAGTACTATACTTGCATGTTTGTTGGCAGATACCTACGCAAACACCTGTGTATGAAGCCCCCACATGTTCGCATATGCGCAGAGGCAGAAATATAAATCAACCTTAAGAACTTTAACAGGTTATTTTGGGAAAGCACTCAGCAGCAGTGGTGGACAACATTTTAAAATTTCTATACTTGAGTGAATATAGAGATTCTCTTGGTAAAATACAGGGAGATTCACTCAAAAGTGGCCCCGAATATTCTGCAGTAACTCCCATTAGGATGAAGCAATCTGAACCAAAAATACGCGATATACCTTGACGTATGTGTAATTGATTGCACTACATGCGATGCTGGAAGTGATCTCCGAAGGGGTACGGGGGTTTGCACCCGGGAGTTGCAAACAGAGGTTAAACGTCATGACAGCTGTCTGGCGCCTACGTCTTCGCTCCGACGCAGGGGCATCCTGGCTTGTTCGAAGCTCCATATACTGAGGAGCACAGTGCACGTTGTTTCGTTCAGATTGCTTCATCATAGAGAGAGTTATTACAGAATATTCAGGGCCTCTTTCAAGTGAATCTCCCTGTATTACTCAAGTAAAACTACAAGTGCTCTTTAGTAATCTTTTACTCGAGTTGAAGTGCAAAAGTGCTTGCTTTTAAATGTGCTTCAGCACCAAAAGTATTGCGAGATATCCAAACAACTCAACGTTTCTCTCATTGTTTCTTCAGCTTCACTCCTCATCCACACTGCTGGAATGTCAAGTATCTTCTTGAAAAACATCCCAATGTTAAAGCACTTTTGTTTAATTCCAAAAGCCTATGAGAGGTATCTGGGCCTCCATGCCTACGTACAGTTAGTGAGCTACTACTGAACATTTGGTATTTAGGGAAAGGATTTAGTGAATGGTGCATTTGATATATTTGTGAAAGTGCAGCACATTCTGTTGAAAATGTAGTTTTCACTTCACAGAGTAAAAAAGTAGCATATTTTGCTGTGAAATGCAGTGAAGTGAATGTATAAGTCTCAACAAAATTAGAAATTCTTTCATAAAGTACAAAAAAGTACTGATTTGTCAAAATTTCTACATAATTCTGTCATTGATACGTAACCAAAGTCATTCAGAGTGTTTTGATGTGAAATGGTTTATTGTAAAGCAACATACAGACTCCTTCCTTTACAGCGGTGGTGATAGGAACCAGGGTCACAATGTCTACAACACAAATAGAGCCATTTTATTTAATATCCAAAACCACCAGTGTACCCCTTCACCATGAATGACTCTTAAAAATATGTTTTAGGTCAAAACCTGACCCTAAAATATATTGTAAAACAATGTCCCAAACTAATACAATGTAAACCTTCTGTGAGGGAGCTTTTAGAATGGACGTCTGGTTCCTATCACCACCAATCTGACTGTCAGTTTCTCTAGAATGGACCAAACCACTCTGAATGACTTTGCATCTTAACCATTTAATTACGCAGAAATTTTGAAAAGTCGATGGACATCCCCTTCAAGTACAGCAACAAAGTACATGTACATGTACATTTCATTACCCTACAGCACTAAGATCAGAGTTTTTCCTACAGGGCTTCAAACAGGCCTTTATGCTCTTCATATCTGACTGCAGGAAAGCTGGGAATCTGGAATGGAGCACTGAGGCCGTCGCTGCTCCAGCAGATGGTTGTAAATGCTGTGGGTTCTAACATGTCACTGTTTTTTTTTTTTGAGATGGAGATGAAAGAACCCTCCCGTTTGTCTTCACCGGTTGTGTTTGCTTTCTCTCCTCTGTCTCTGTCTGAACTCTGTATTGTTTGAGTTTGTGGTTCTGGTTTGTTGTGTCTGTGTCCGTGTTGTTTATGTCTGTACGTGTTGTTTTGGTGGACATGCCTATAAATGTTGTGGCGTCTCGCTGTGTGTGCGTGTGTGTGTGTGTGTGTGTGTGTGGCGATGACGGCGTGCTGTGCGTTTGTGTACTGCTCGTATGTATTGTGTATTGTGTGATGGATAGGTTATGCGTCCAGGCGGGCCATGCTGCAGCAGCTGCATGGTGTCACTATGTACTCACACGATGAGCACCATACCACCACCTACTCCTGGAACGAGAGAGGTAAGACGGGGGCCGCGGGGGGCCGCACCCCATCAGCGTCTCATCACGCACTGCGTCCCGTCCTGTCCCTCATCACCGCTTCTTCACGAACCCCTTCGTTCTCGTCCCGTTACGCTCTTATGTCGTCTCCAGGTCCCGGCTGGATTGCGTTGCAGTGTCGTCCTCTCTGTCTCTCTCCAGCTTCTGCAGCACTGTCTCACGACCACATCTCTGTTCCATGTATTTAGGTGCAGGTTTCCAGGAGCTCCTCCCTTTTAAAGGGCCCATATCATAGAAAAACCAGATTTCCTCGCTTTTTTGAAATGAGTCTGTTAGAGTTTCAGAAATGTATCACTCTCCATTCCATATATGGAAACTAAGCTGAAAAACACCCTGTGTTGAATTTATTGTTTTTGTGATGTCACAAACGCCAACACATTTACATATATCTGCCTGTTCAGCCTGCAGCAACTTAGCCACGCCCACTCACTTTATTAGGGAAGTTCTAAGGAGTGTTTCGGTGTGGAGCACTTTCTCAATCAAGGACGAAATAAATGTATTGTTTTTGTGATGTCACAAAAACCAAGGCACCTATGCATATCGCTGCTGTTGGAGCAATACCGCAAATCTCCATTTTTGTCATTTTTAAATTTTTTACATAATTTGAAAATACCTGTTGCCTTTACATTTTGTGTGAATTTCATGATGAATGGACCACAAGAAATGGCACAAAATTACTTGGAAAAAATTCTGGTTCCATTGACTTACATTAAAAGTAAAGTACATTTTTTCCTTCTCCTGTAAAGTTACCATGTTGGAGTTACGATTTGTTCTGACAACAGCGATATTCTCCTTTTCAGATAGTAGTTCAGCTTTATCCATGCATGCTGAAGTTATAAGGAGTGTTTCAGCTCTGATAGCTTTTTGTTTGAGGTATATACAGGACAGCCAATCGAAACAAAGATCACTTACATATCATTATTAAAGGTACAACCTGTTTGATTCTAAGGGATTAAGAGAGGTTGGAAAATGATCATATAAAAATGAATTATGAGTGTTCTTGGTACATAAATTGACACAAATGTCATCGAAAAGTGGATCTCAGGAAAAAATAAGTAAACAAGAAAAATGTTGGATATGGGCCCTTTAAATATATATATGAGTCATAAGGGAAAAGTTAAGCAGTAACTCCTTCAACTGCAGGCTTATTATTCAGTTATAATTTTATTATTATCTTATTATTGTAAGTATGGGCCTACAGAGAGGCTCACAGGGTTTAAAAGAATAGCCAAGTATTTTTTTAACATAATCTCAATCTACTGCATCTGTAGCTTATGGTTTTATCGCATATGTAACATATGAATTTACAATAGAAGCCAATGGCCAGTTGCAGATGCATTGAACTTATTGTCCATAATAATCAACCATACGCAGCAGGTGCAGCAGACGGAGATAGAGAGCTGGAGTTGATCAGCTTGACTAAAGTTAAAGCAGAATTCCACCAAGTTTTCAACATTTATGCATAATTCAGTCGTTGAGATGTAAACAAAGTCATTCAGAGTGCTTTGAGGTATAGACTCAGATTTCTTTACAGTGGTGGTGATAGGAGCCAGGGGTCACCATGACTACAACACAAATATAGCCATTTTATTTACTATCCAAAACCACCAGTGAACCTACACGAGTCTTCTGAGTTTTCTCTGAGTAACCTCTGAGTTTTATATGGAATGTTATGATGCTAAAATAATTAATTGTTTTATTTGTGGACTATTTTGTCTCAAAACGCCCTGCCTGTATCCCTCCACCATGAACAGATTTATAAATTTTAGACCAAAAGCTCCTCAAATCTATTATATTAATTAATAATCTATTAATGACGGCAGTCATTCGTAACCATTTCGTGTAATGACTTTCTGTGAGGGAGCTTTTAGAGGTGGACGTCTGGTTCCTATCACCACCACTGTGAACAATTCTGACCCGATGAGTTTCTCTAGAACGGAGCGTGTCGCACCGAACCACTCTGACTTTGTTTACATCTTAACCATTTGATCAATTATGGAAAATAAGTTCCCCTGTAATAGAGCTGTGCTAACAGAGCTTCTTTTGGGCTACATCTTGGCTTCCCATTATAAGCCACATTAATCTAGACAGAGCTCAGTAATAAATCTGCTCTTCACTAATCAAATACACATTTTTTTTAATTTAGGAAAAAAAAATCTGATTCTACATAGTCAGAAAGGGCAATTCTGAAATTGCAGTGTCTACAAGAACGGCTCTCGTCTCAAGTCTGTTATATTCACTGATGCCTTTTTAATTACACGTCATTTGGGAACGATGCCAGATGTTGACAGATTAATTGAGAGAGCCTAGTTGATAATTATATTGTTAGTAGACGTTGTTTTTTCTGCATTGTTGCATCCACCAGAATGCAGTATCTGTTGTTGGTGGTCTGATGCCGTAGATTAGGTTCATCAGCTGCTGTTCACATCCACTACTTCATTAACCTGATAATAGTCATATAGTACGTTGTATGTAACGTCTGCTTTTGCTGTATGTATGTTTATATACATTTCTGTATTACTGTAGATCTGCCCTGACTATTCCTCAATGCATGACACGGCATACAATATTAACACTATTTGAAGTTCAAAAGTTTGTGCACCCCGGTCAAATGACCTGTTTTGTTGATGTTCTTAGTGAAAATAAGCTATCACATCCTCTACAGAGAACATAGTTATGCACATTTACTGCACAATTACTGTTTATTTGCTGAATTTAACATATTGGGGGAAAGAAAACCTAAAAATGTGGCCTGTGCAAAAGTTATGGCACATTTTCTGAAGCGTCATTCCCGAGTAATGGAACCAAGTAGAGGCCTAGTTAAGAACACCTTGACCCTTTGAAGGACCTTTATGTCAGCTTCATAAAACATGTTGAATAGCGATTGCTGCATTCATGAACGCTGAATTAGTGCAATATGCTATTCATCGCTTATGTATGTGTTATGAAGTCTCTAAGTTTTGTCGTGTCATGCATTTGGAAATACAGAAATGCACATAAACTGAATAAGCAGACACTTATAATGTACATATAGCTTAATAAATACATTATTCAATGGTTATGCATGTGTTAGGAAGTTACAACCTTCAAATAAACCCAATATCCACAGGGATATTATTAATAAATATACAAATGTGGTTTTATTTGAAGTAATCTTGTTTGTACAGTCATACAAGTACAAACATAATCTGCACATGCTTTTAGAACATACCTGAAAAATGAAAATGTTTGAGTAATTGGGGGATATTTATATAGCTTTGATATAAGAGTGCATAGAACTATGACACAGGTTTGATATAACAGTGCATAGAACTATGACAGTTAGCTTACAGCTTGGAGAGAGAGAGAGAAAGCTAGCTGGGAGGTGAATCAGAGTGGTCCAGAAATACTTCAAATGTGTGGGCCTGACCTTATAAACTTGCAGTGGAGGATATGAATTGGAGGCAACTCCAGGTCAACCTAGTTTTAAAGTGGCAGGACTTAAAATGAATGTGTAAATGTGTTGTTCGCTGAATGTGTTCATACAGTGCAGTCGTGCCTGTGTAGGAGTGTGTTTGTAGGAGTGTGTGTGTGTAGGAGTGTATAGCTTCTGTGTAGGAAAGCTTTGTCTGTGCAAGCCTCTGATATTCATCTGTCCTGTTAAAACTGCGAAACAATAAAAAAAAACAATTTAGAACGAAGGGTGTCTCTTGTCTTTTTCCGTCACGTTGTCCTGTTTACAGTCTTGTATTTGTAAATGCTTAAAACGGCCTGTGGCTGTTTTGTTTCACATCGATTTGGTTTATTTGGTAAAAGTGTAATGTGCACATATCCAAAGAGCGAAATCACTACAGTCTTGATTTTTTCTGTTTTGCAGCTCCGCCATGCTGTTCCAGTCCTTAAAATGTCTTCCGCTTTCTCTCTATTTCTCTCTTTCTCTCCTTCCTTTTACTTTTTCCATTTCTCTTCTCACTTTTTTCTCTCTTTCGCTCTCCCTCTCCTCCCCCTGCCTATCTCTGTGTGTCCTTCCTCGCTCCCTCCTCCTGGTCTTTTCCAGAGAGTCGGGAGAACTCGTTCAGCCGTTCGCGGAGCTCCAGCGTCTCCAGTATAGATCGGGACACCAAAGAGGCGGTGACGACTCTGCAGTTTGCTGAGTCCTACGGCCGCAAGTCGGACACGCTGCCCACGCCGTGCCTGTGGGTGGGCACTAGTTTGGGCTTGGTGCTGCTTGTGCCCATGTCCATCCCCACTGACGAGCAGGAGAGGATGGAGGAGCCCATCACTGTGGCACCCACCGGTGAGCACCGCTTTTGCTTTGCTTACAACAAGGGCCCCTATATGGGCAGACCAGTTTGAATCAAATCCTGTGAATTGGGGCTGTAATCCTGTGATCTTTGGGCCAATCCTTCTGATTAGATGTTTTGAGCCAAACTAAATAGACAGACTCCTTGGTCTGAACCATGTAGATCTATGGACATAGAGGTTGGGTCAAATTCTATGGATAGACTCTTTAGGCAAAACCCTCTGGACAGACCCTTTGGCCAAACGCTATGGACTAATTTTTTGGGTCAAATCCTATGGACAGACAATTTAGGCAGACCTCTATGAATAGACCTTTTAGAAAAACCAAGAATAGACCCATTAGACAAAACCCTATGGATAGACCCTTTGGGCCAAACCTCATGAAGAGACCCTCTAGGCCAGTGGTCATCAACCCTTCAGCGGTTAATGAATACTGCCTAAGGCCAAGCCCTATGGATGTCCACTTTAGGCCAAACAACATACATAGATCTTTTGGGGCACATTCTGTAGATAGACCCTTTGAGCCAAGCGCTATGGATAGACCCTTTGGGACAAACCCTATAGATAGACTCTTTGGGACAAACCCTGTGGATAGATCCTTTAGGCCAAGCCCTAGAAATGTACCCTTTGGGCCAAAGCTCATAGGTAGAACCTTTGGGCCAAAGCTTGTTGGTAAACATAATAATTCCAACCCTTAATTCCCTAAATCTATGCCCTAAATCTAAGTGCCTAAATCTACCAGTAAACCCCATATTTCAAAATTTATTGGCCAAATCATATGTTCCCTACTGAAACAGACCCTTACATTACAACTGAGCTCATACTCATACTGTGTTTCTGAGTACACTTGTGGGATCAGTCTTATTTAGATAGCTCCTAAAGGAGTACAGTCAGAGGAAATCTGATCCTAGATAAGTACTCTCACTGTTCGACACATGGAACACTGAAATAGAAAGTGGAGTGGCTCAGTTCTAAAGGAGCTCTGTCCTTAGACTTTGATAGGCGTTCTTTTGTTTATATGCTTTTCTCATTCATTGGGTTTCTTTCTGGAAAATGTAGCCTCTTGTTTTAGTTCATTAGTGCTGAAATGTGTCTTAGCAAGAAACCGCCGAATGGATAGGTCGTTGTAATTATACCTGGCACATGACGATTTTAGGACAAGGTCATCTGGAAGCGTTGAAGTGTTGACATTGAACAGTACCGGGGGTTTGGAATAATTGATTGTAGTCTCAGTTAATGTCACATGAGACAGCGGTTCGTGGTGTCATTGAGAATTTAATGATGCGGAGTGTACACTCCATTTAGCTTTATTTTCTTTTTTTTGCTTGCTCACCTTATTTCTCTTTTGTTTCGAGTCTCCCTTTCTTCACCCTTCTTCTCTGTCTCTCTCAGGCACAGTCCTGATGCTGAAAGGTTCCGTCCTGCGGTTCGGTTTCCTGGACTGTTCAGGTGGTCTGATCCAAAGTCCGTACGAGGTGTGGCGAGATCTAAACGCCCCTGAAGACCCTGAGCGGCCCCGCCGGCGCAAGCTGGTCAACTTCTCACCCTGTTCTTCGCAGGACACCGCCAGTGATGGCCACCTGGCCGTGGTTTGCTCCGAGCGTCAGGCCAAGGTCTTCCTGATGCCTTCTCAAGCCTGTCTGTACGTGCACAACATCACCGAGTCGTCTTTCGTGCTGCGGGCCGACGTGGTGGGCGTCTCCAACAGCGTGTGCCTGGCCTGCTTCTGTGCCAACGGACACATCATGATCCTCAGGTTCAGCTCCACATTCACCTCATAAAAAATAATAAACCCCTTAAAAAACCTAGCTTTCACTTCTCAGTGCATATATTCTAGAAAAAACCCAGAATAGACCCATTAGACGAAACCCTATGAATAAACTCTTTGGGCCAAACTCTTTGCTTTTGCTAATTAACTTCTTCAGAGGTTGATGACCACTGCCTTAGGCCAAGCCCTATGGGAGTCCACTTTGGGCCAAACTGTATGTGTAGGCCTTTTGGGCCACATTCTATAGATAGACCCTTTGAGCCAAACGCTATGGATAGACCCTTTGAGACGAACAATGTGGACAGGCCCACAGTGCATATATGGGAACTAAGCTGCAAAAACAATACATTTATATATATCTTAGCAGTTGAGCCCCACTCATTCATGTTGAAGTTATAAGGAGTGTTTCAGCCCAGACTGCTTTCTGAATGAGATGCAATACGGGGCATCCAATCAACACAGAACTCATTTACGTTTATCAGTTTTAAAGGCACAGTAACAAAAACATTTGCAGTCACATCCTTTAGACTGCCCCTTTGGGCCAAATCCTATAGACTCTTTAGGCCAAACCAAATTGGTCTTAAATTATGACTGACCTCAGAATACGGTTGTGGGATCAGTCTTTTTTAAGATATTCAGCTCAGTGCAGGGAATCGATCAGAACAGAGCTCATTTATATATCAGTCTTAAAGACACAGTAATAAAAACAGCCTGTTTAATTCTAAGTGATAAAGATGAATGATGACTGTACATAAAATCATACAAATGTCACAAGTAGAGCTTGCAGAAGAAGTTAAAAACAATCTAAGATATCGGCACTTTAATATTTAGTAACTAATATGACTGATAATGCAAAAATACATTTTGACCTAGAATGTATAGGTAAATCTCTCGTTTACTCTCTCACATCTATTTTGCCAATTTCACAACCCATTTTATATATGAATTCAACATTAAAATATTCATATAAATTGTCATATAAATTGATAAGAATAAGAAAATATGTTCACACAAGCCATATTTTATATATATGAGTAGAAGTCTGTTCTCTATAGAGGATGTGTTCACATATTTTCACTTACAAAATCAACAAAATGTGTTATTTGACCAGGAACACCTAAACCTTCACATATAACTGTATATCTGTATGTATAATGGATGTATGTATAAAATTATCCTTTCACTCCAAATGCTCCAAATGCACACTGATTTGACCCCTGTTAATCTTTTGGAGCATTGATTTCTCCAATCCTGTTCCTAATTCTGGGAATAACGTACAGATTCTCTTAATCCTGGATGGAATCGATGAGTCGGCACTGCCAATCAGGAAGTCCGCTCAGTACAGCAGGCTATTGACTGATTGTTCGTTTGATCTGACCTTGATTGTAACCGAGCACAGAACTTTACAGTAATTAGATTGTTTGTTTTCTAATTGCTGTAATGGAATTATTTCAGCTGAAAGCAGGACGGAGATGTTTCTCCTTTCATTGTCCTAAAAGATTGTGTGTTATTGCTTGTGGTGTGTGTCACAGCCTGCCCAGTTTACGGCCCCTGTTGGACGTGAACTACCTGCCGCTAACGGACATGCGCATTGCTAGAACGTTCTGTTTCACTAACGGAGGGCAGGCCCTCTACCTGAGCTCACCCACAGAGATCCAGCGCATCACCTACAGCCAGGAGATGTGTGACAATCTGCAGGTGAGTGCAGAATGTTAGGATTCTATCTTCACAGACATCTGAGGTTGTGGTCAGTGTTCAAACTGTGGAAGAAGTCTTGGGGTCTGATTATGAGGTCACCTATAATCTGGCATAAATTTAATACTTGTTACACAATACAAACAGCAGGCGTACCAAACTGATTACCAAATAACCTCTTCCATGATTATAGTTATAAATACTGTTTTTTTATACAATTGACTTTATCAGAACCATCTTAGAACCGTTCAAAAACATTGTTTTAATGTATTCTCATTGTAATAAATTGTATTCCTTAAATGTAAAAATCATTGTAAATTCAGATTACGCTCAGGTTTTCTTCCAACAATTATTATTATTATATGGGTCAATGACAGGTAAGGTTTTCAAAATGGCAATTTTCAAAAATCTTATCAAAAAGGACTTGATGTGCATTTTATATCTTAAATATAGTTAGTGTTATCAAAGCTTTTATATAGAAAACAAATGGCAAACTACATAATACAGCATGTTCTCGGCTCTGTTGGTAGTAAAAATGTTTTTACTACCAATCGTGGAAAAATAGAGCTTGTTCAAGTGTAAAGTTTATCTGTGTCTGCAAACCCAGACCCTATATCTCCTCTAAATTTCCCAGTGGAAACATAACTACGTTGTATACACTGGATGTAGAATAAGAACATGCAGAGAAAATGCACACATTTGCTGCTATAGTTCTCAATCATAAACAATAGAAGGCTGGATTTAAATACTTTATCTTTTACCACACTGCCATCTTCTGGATGGACTAGTGTACTGGCTCACTTTTGCTCTCTCTTTTCTGCCCTTTACTGTTGATTTCTCATTAACACACTCTCAGTTGACTGCCTGATAAATTCACTAATTGATTACCCAAATCAATCGGTTGCAGGAGATGCTGGGGGAGCTTTTCACGCCCATAGAGACCCCTGAGGCGCAGAACCGAGGCTTCCTGAAGGGCTTTTTTGGGGGCAACGCCCAGACGTTTGATCGTGAAGAGCTCTGTGAGTGTTCCTTTCATTTGGCTGAACGTGTCCATATGAAGATCTCTTCATATTGTTGGATTCTTGGGAAGTTTCCAACTTCTGAGTAAGAAAATCCACTTGAACGGCCCTCCATGAACTTTATTAGCTCAAGTGAAAAGTGTTAGATAAGGATCAAGTGCACATAAGTGGAGCCTTCAGCAGTAGAACTTGCCCAAATATCATTGAAATCTAATTCCCCTTTTCAAAGCCCCCCAAAAGGCAGACAAATTGGTTCACAAGCAACAGCAATAAAATACTTTTAAATACTTGATAACATTCAGTTTGCTATGTTCAGTCTGGAGCTCAGGGAGCAAATACTCACAGCTGGCAACAAAAAAAGGCAAGAGGCCGGTTTCTAGCCAAACTTTACAGCCAGACGAAGCAGTTATTCATAAAATGTATGTATGTTATGTTCAGAAACATTCTGAATTACAAAGTTTGCATGGCTAATTAGCTCACTGAGACTAACCTCCCAGACAGCGAGCATATATCGGTCCGCTGGCTTGATAAGGTCAGCATTCCACCGACTGTTTGCCACTTCTGGTCCAACCTCAGACCTCCCAGATTATTGTCCTGCATACAAGCTCTGACTAATTTTTAATCTCCTCAAACAGATTTTAAATGCACAGAGACTTTTATTTTAGACAATAAACTAAGACAAATATTACAAACACCTGAGAGAGAAAAAATAATGACTAGGCCTGATATAAAATGATTTTATAGAAAATGTTGTTGCTGTCATTCTGCTGGATTAAAATGATTTACTGAACTAATTTACAAAGTATAACTAAAGAAAGGAAAGAAGGAAAAATCAGTAAATTGGACTGTGAGAGAAAAATGAGCGATGATAAGTGGAATTTTCTCTAATACTCTACTTAACTACCGGTGGGCCGCCCAGAAAACGCTGAGAAAAGCGCCAATGGACCGCCAGCTCTACCATCAGCGGGCTGACAGGGGTCCATTATCCTCTTGCTATCTGGGCTAGTTGAGGGTGACTGTGACGTCATGTTAACGTAGCTGCACTCATAGTGCAAATTAAGAGCAAGAAATAGTAGCACATTTTAAAGCAGCAAAAAATCTAAATTAATCAGTTTTTCAGCTTACTCCAAATGTAGCCAAGACATGTTTGGTGTCTTTGGTTCTGCAGTAGAGCTACATGGCTAAAGTAGATAACAATTAATGGAATGTTATTTAGCATCCATTTAAGCATGTTGCTAACTGCCCAAATTACCACATACTTACCTCGAACCTTGTGGAGTTGGTAGATAAGCTCTAATAGACTTATTTACGTGGTATCTGACACTGTATGACATACTGGTATCCATAAACATGGACAAAAGTACATTAGCATGGCTAAAAACAGTAGAAGGAACCTTCCTGAAGCTTAAATTATGTTCGTAGTTTTGTGTATTTTTATTTGTAACAGTTTTTATTTACACATGACATCATGCACGTCTTCTTCTCTACCTTGACGTTGTGTAAAAGCTATTTAAGAACTTTTAATAGCAGCCAAACAAGCTGCTTCCACTAATCCTTCCCTCTTGTGTGTAGTTGGTGAGGCGGCAGCGGGGAAGGCCTCTCGGAGCCTTGCTCAGCACATCCCAGGCCAGGGCAGCGTGGAGGGTGTGCGGGCGGCCGCCGGCGGCGCGGTGGGTGACCTGGCCCGTGCCCGTATCGCCCTGGACGAGAGAGGTCAGAGACTGGGTGAGTTGGAGGAGAGGACGGCTCTCATGATGGCCAGTGCTGAGACCTTCTCCAAACATGCCCACGAGGTAAGAAAGACGAAAGAACACATTTCAATTAACAATTACGGCTAAAATGTTAAACCCTATCTACTGGACAGGGCAGCGTCATTTCCTGAATGTCCTGAATGAACTTTTCTGGTGAATGAATATTAATTTCATTTCATCTGTCCACGGCCAGAACTCAGAAAAACCATAACTTGCCTTGCTCGCTCTGGGTGGGTAGGATGGCTCTTCCACTGCCTATTAGCCATGGCCTTTCCTCCTATCAGCCTCATCCCTCTCTGTATTAGCCCCGTCTCTCTCCCTATTAGCCCCTTCCTCTCCCTTTCCCAACTAGCCACTGGATCTCTTCTCATTAGAAACACCCCTCTCCCCATTAGACCCACCCCTTTCCACATTAGCCCTGTCCTCTACCTATTAGCCCCTTTCTTCTCCCCATAAGCCCCATACCTCCAGTCATTAGCCTCTTCCCTCCCCATTAGCTGCATCCCTCTCCCTATTAGCCCCACCCCTCTCCCCATTAGTCCAATCCCTCTCCCATGAGCCCCTCCCTCTCCCCATTAGCCCCTCCCTCTCCCCATTAGCCCAGTCACTCTCCCATAAGCTCCTCACTCTCCCCATTTGCCCCACCCTCTCCCCATTAGCCCCCCCCATTAATCCCTTCTTCACCCTTTCCCTGTTAGCCACTGCGTTTCCTCTCATTAGCCCCACTCCTTCTCCTCCCATCAGCCCCTCCCTCTCCCCGTTAGCCTCACCCCTCTTCCCGTTACCTCCTTCTTCTCTCTTTCCCTCTTAGCCACTGCCTTTCCTCCCATTAGCCTCTCCCTCTCCCCATTTGCCACTGCTTCTCCTTCCATTAGACCTATCCTTCTTCCTGACAGCCCCTCTCTCTCCCTATCACCTCCTCCCTCAGAGGCATGATGCCAGACAACGTGGGCGTCTGATAGCTGACGTAACAGAATTAGCAGTTAGCATGCTTAACGAATGCATTAGTGGCAGTTTGTAAAGATGTGGTGGTGCTTCACGTGTCTCGGAGGAACCCAGTGCTAGCCTTCATCCTGCTAGCTTGGTAGCATCATGCAATAGGGGGAGACTAGCATTGTCCTTGAATAAATTTGGGAGAACAGTGGGGTAAAAATTTAAAGAAAAGAAAGAAAACATTTCATGTCGTGAATAAAATCTGTGAATACTACTGTCTGACATGGCAGTGTTAAATGTATAAAATGTTTATTGGCTGAACCACCTTCCAAGCTTAATCTACCTGTATTATTTTAGAGTTAAGTTTGGTATTTCAAAGCGACTGTGACACACGTACAGCTTAAAACCATCCTTGGATCTATGATGCTATGAACCCTGCAGAGTAGCCTATGCTACAACACTGACAGTGGTGGACAGTAACAAAGTAAATGTAATTCGTTACTGTACTTAAGTAGTTTTTTGTGTATCTGTACTTTACTGAAGTTTTCCATTTTGGGCGACTTTTTACTTTCACTCCACTACATTTCAAAGTCAAATATCTCACTTTTTACTCCACTACATTATGAGAAATCTGTCGTTCGCTTTGGTTTATGTGTGTATAAAAACGAAACATGTCAAAACGAAAGAAGCGCAAAGCAAGAACACCAATCAGGCACAGCGGTCACTTTGTTTTGAGCTTGTTGTGACCTGTTGGTCAAACCGACCCAGTGCAGCACACAGTTCAACGTCAGTGCAGAAGCGTAAAATTTTGGGAGTCTATTCAACATAAATGTGAACTAACCTAACTTTGTGTAAACAGACCACAATATAGAAATATGTACACATATGCAGTTGTGACTGACGTGTCTTTTTTCTGAATTTATACAAACACTATTTCATTTTATAGTAAATTAGTTTTGGCTAGTTTATGTTTATGAACAGAGACCTACAGATGCAGTTTAGTAAAGGAAACTCATTTGTGAATCTGAGATTAAAGCAAGTTTTTATTCAACTTAAACTTGTAACTAAGTTGCAAATAAATCTTAAACTGAAACTTTGCTTGTTTGTAAAAAGTTCAGAGCCACTCAGTTCTACCTGATGGAAACTGTTTGTCTTCAGTGTTTTGTGCTTATGATAATTTTAATAGACATCAGCGTCACTAATTAATGACTCTATTAAAAGACTGGTTTACCAAGAGAGACACTGGAGTATTTTCACCTAAAATGAGTTAATGGAGCAGAGTCTTGTTACAAAAATGATAATAGGGCCATATTTAATCTTTTAGTACTTTTACTTTCGATACTTAAGTACATTTGAAGGCAAATACTTTTGTACTTTTACTCAAGTGGAGGTCTAAAGGGAGGAACTTCTACTTTTACTGGAGTAATATTTAACCTTGGGTATCTCTACTTTAACTCAAGTACATGGTTTGTGTACTTCGTCCACCGCTGAACACTGAACTTATGGCCTAGTGAGCGTACTTCATTTTCCGGCTCATAAAAATGTGCTTGTTTTCCTGTTTTCTTCCACAGCTAATGCTGAAATGCAAGGACAAGAAGTGGTATCAGTTTTAGAGGGCTCTGGACGAAGGTTAATTCCGCCCTCCGGCCTCAAGAGGGCACTACTCTGGGACATGGACCTTCACTCTTGAACAGAGAGATAGAGAGGTTTACAGAGGGACTGAGGGCTGCTCCACCTCTTTCTGGGCTACGTGTACAGGACTACGTTCTCTATCGGACCGGCTCCACAGACGCAGGACAGAATACGATGGACACGTACCATTAGCGCATTAGCGTCGACGAGGGTCCTCCCCTCATAAGTTGTGGATTAGACCATCTTTGTTCATGTACAGGGGTTGTCTTCTCACAGGAGGTGAATTGGCTCTTGCTGTGTAGATACTCTGAGCGTTATGAAACCAACAAGACTGCATGAAACAAAATGGATGACCTATAAAAACATAAAACTGCCATATTCAAAAAGCAGCATGTTACTTTAAAAGAAAGGGAAGTTAAAAAAAGAATAACATACTTTTATTTAATAATATAAGCCAATACCAGAAAGTTATGAGAAAAAAAAAACTTTATATTTTTTGAAATAGCGATAAAATATAAATAAAAAAGAAAGCTGTATACCTGCATTGCTACAAGGCCAAAATATTGTTTTTATTTATTTAACGCCATACGTTTTCTTTTAATAATGTATTATTTTCGAAAAAAATTGCACCACTCTGTCTTCACGCCAGTAATTTACACAACGTGTTCCACCCTTGTATTCAAAAAGTTGGCGAGAATGAGCCGGAAAAACGAATCACGCGCTACTTTACGCAATCCAGTGTTTACAAAACAGCTGCTGACGCAAAATATCAAAACGTCCCTTGAACGACAGTTTTATTACCAAACCAATCGAGTTACTTCACCCTCTCCTAGAAACGTACGATGTGAAAAAAATAACGTGGTTTTAGACGTATAAGCGAGAAGTAAACTGTATTTTGGCAATACGTGCCGAGTGTACGTCTATGTGGTCTTACTTGGGTGTAATAATTACATGTGCCATATTCTAGATGGGTGAAGTATCTTTCCTGTAAACTAGCGATGAACTTCTTATTCTGTCCGTGGTTGATATTTTTGAGCTGTTACTTGTAGATGAAACTAGCCTAACTCGTTCGGAGGGTTAGCCTGGTCGTTCGTGTCCGCTGCGGTTTGTTCATTTAAAAATGAGGGGTTTTCTCTTTTTTTTGTTCTTTAGTTCTTTGTTTTTTTTTGACCAATAACTCTCAGCTGGCCTGTTAACGTCGTTTTGTTTTTCTGGAATTTTCTGCTGCCTTGGGTCACGTGTAACAAAGTTTGGTGTACCTTGCTAACGATGTGTGGAGGAACCTCTGCCAAATAAGCTTGAATGAGTCGTAGAACGAGTTTGAAGTTTACATCATATCAGATGATTGTTCACTTGTGTCTTCTGGTCGCTATTTGAATATGTAAGTGGAGGGCGGAGACGCACCACATGAATATTCATGTCGAAGTGTTATCATTTAATGTATGGAGTGTTTGATCCCGTTTCGGTTGACGTTAGCCTACATGTGAGCGAACTGTATTTTCCGAGTGTGAAACGAAGTTTGATTGGCTTGACCTGTTGTGCTTGTGCCGTAACACTACAATTCCCATAATTCCCACCACTTCCTCTGAACTTTCTGTTTTGTATGTAAAGAAGGGGCTACGCATCGTTGTACATGCTGTCAAAGTCAAAATGGGAACTAAACACCAAGACGCCACGCTGTTTACCAAATTTATAGGAATGGCTTAGCGGAAAATCACATTTACACAATTTTCCACCTACCACAGCTGTAGTTCACCAGCCAAGACATGGTTGCTACTTTAGTTTAGCGCTGAAGCGACAAGGCTAAAGTTGCTAACACTAAAGTCAATAGTCACCCAAATCTTTTCTGTAAATACATCCACAGAACTTCTCCTAGTCTGCTCAAACCTCATCCAGGTCTTCATTGAGGTTATGCAAACTTGCTGTTGTGGTTCAGGACACAGTGTGACTTACTAAGAGCTATAAAAGTGAACAAAACTTCACTGTGTAGCTGAAGGAGTGTCACGAGTACATCAGTACCTCTGAACGTCACTGGATCCTCTGAATTATGAGTCGAAACTATGAATTTTGCTACATGGTAACACTGCTGTGCACTGAACTGACATCATACGACTGACAACTTCACTAAAATATCCCACACAAACCAGCAAGCTTTGTCAAATGTGGTAGTTAATTTGCTTTGGCAGTAGTTCAGTACGTTTGGAGCAGCTAGTATTTTTATATAATAGTGTTCAAGTTTAATAGTAGACCTACTTTCATGTGACGTCATTTCAACACGCAGGAATGTTCGCTTGCTCTCAGCATGGACGTGGCAGTCGTCACATTTTGAGTCTTAACAGGGCTGCCAGCTCTCACGCATGGGCCGTGAGACTCACGCAATTTGGTCGAATCTCACGCTTTCACTCCACAATCGACATTTCTCACGCATTTTTACTAAAAGACCCACTGATGAATCTGAGCGCTCAGCAGCGGCGGTTTACTCGAATGCAAGAGAAAGAGATCACGCTAGCTTGTCAGTCACCGCCGGTCCGTGTGTGTTATAGATCAGTAGGGGCGGGACTGGTTGCCATACCAACAGGGAACCAATCTATCCTGACCTATTTCCACTGTGTAGCTGTTAGTTTTGAAATCTGTGCCTATCAAGTGCAGCCAGGTGAAGAATTTGACAGTAGCTGCACCTGGTGGTGGTGCCAGGACTGATGTTTTGGGTGGGTGTGACAAATTTGAGGGTGGGCCGAACCTTGCCCTTGCAGACAGACCCTCATCGTCTCTTGCGCACCTTCACTTACGCAGACAGGCCTTCGCCAGCTCTTGTGCACGGATTCAGTCTCTCCCACAGTTGTTCCCCCTCATTTTTGTCATGTTAGGTGCTTCATAGATATGGAATATATCAATGCATTAACTTAATTTGGAGCTCGTAATAAAAGGGATCAAATCTTGTGGCTCTTGCTTCGCATACAGGAGCAATAACAACCAACATAACCTAAATATGCTTTGATTTCTAGCATTTACACCTTGTAACTGTGCTACATTGGATAATCGTTGTAGTTACTGTGTTTGACACTTTTTTACTGGTCCATAATCTCTGTAATTGGACTGTATTTTGTCCTCATTAGAGCAGACTGACCAGTTCAGCAGAGAGCTAACAACAAATTATCAATGCTGAGTAACAGCAGAACTGACCAGCTTTCAGTCTTTTGTCCTCCAAAGGTCAGTCTTTATTAAGTCAGTGTGACATAATGTAATTTTATGGGTAAGTTGCGGAAAAATCAAATTGTATTTGTATTAAATATTAAACTGTCTTAAAATTATTGGTTCCATATAAAATGAATATGTGAAGTTTTGATATGGAAACAGATCCAAGATTTCCATGACTGCTGCCCCCCCAACCCCCAAAGCCTCCAACCTCCAATAACCCCCCCAAACCCGCCCCACTGTAAACATGTACAAGTTAGCGGTCCTGCTTTAATGACCTCCTAATTAAAATATCCACTGATATGAAGTACACAGGACAAAACGTATCACGTTCAGAACCTTCCACAGGGTGCAATAGCAGCCATTTTCCAAACCCCCTTTTTTTGTCATAAGGAAAACCAGCTTGGACCTGGAGTTCCTAATATGAGCATGACACCGACTACAGAATGAGGCCCATATGGATGCTACAGATTCCGTTCACAAGTCCTGTTGTTTCACACTGCATCATATATTTCACAACAGCGTTTTGCTTTTAACGAAGTACAGCATGAACAGAGTGTGACTTCAGTGCAGGTTGACCTGCTCAACAGACAGCTAACAAGCTAAAGTAGTGATTCGAGACAGGCTTTCAGATTAAACCTCTTAATAAAGCAGTGACTGTAAACTACAACAGAAAAAGTAACAATATGTCTGTTAAAAGCTTCTACTCTCCGTGTTTAAGCTGTGATATGTGAATATGCACCGACTTTCTTGTCGCACATTCCGACGTCATGAACTTCTGTGACAGAAAAAACACACGAAACCTGATCTGACCGGTCAAACTGGGTCACATATCCTGAATTTGAATCAGACTCGAAAGTACCCATTGGAAAAAAGCAGACTTCGTGTGTTTTTTTGCCATTTAGACTGCAGAAAGTCTGTCCTGCTTAAATCAGATATGCCAAAAAATAGCTGCCTGTCTGAACAAGGCCAGTGTGAACACGTGTTTCTAAAAAGAACAGAAAGTCATGAACGTAATCTGGTACCTGTACACCTGCATGACATGAATAAAAGCTGGATTCTGCTGTGGGAGTTCGGCACAGCACCTGTTGTGTGAAGTGGCTGCCTAGACGGTGACATTTTGTTCATTTTTATAGTTAAAGTAAGTCATACTGTGTTCTAAACCAACATCAGCAAGTCTGCACAACCTTAATGAAGACCTGGACGCAGTTTGAGCAGACTGAGTGAAGTTTTTTGGCTGTATTTACAGAAAAGATTTGGGTGACTATTGACTTCCAGTGTTTATTAGCAATGTTAGGCTTGTAGCTCTATTACCAAACTTACAGAAGCAAAACTTGGACATAAAGTGAGAAATTGTGTACATTTGATTTTTCACTGACCCATTCCCTTAAGGGGCAGTTTAGGCCAAAAAGCTAGCATGGCTAACAGTGAATGGCATGAACGCTAGCACTCAGGCTGAACCACTCCTCTAAAAGTCTGCTTGTTTTCATATCGGAGTGGTGAACAGCTCCAAACTTCACAGACTAGGTAAGTGTTACAAAGTGAACAGCCACGAGATTCAAACCAGCTTAGCACCACTAGGCTAGGCTAGCCGAAAGAATGTGCGGACGTCTGATGACCAGTTCCGTCAGTCTTATTTCACGCTCATCATCACGTTTGTTTCAGCAGCAGAAAAAAAAGATTTAAACAGGGTGTTTTGTTTCTATGTTCTCAGCTTTTATACTAAAATGTACAGTTGAACCTGAGGAGACGGGGGAGAAACGTCATAGCCTATAATGAAATTACTGACTAATGTGATTTCCTCTGTAAATGTCGTACCTGTTGAAAGATGGTACCCCATCTAACATCCTGAATGGAGTTCTGTAGTCCCCCCTTTAAACCCCCAGCCCCCACCCCCCCAAACTCTGAGCCGCTGGACTCTTCAGAGAAGGCAGCAACGTCGGTCTTGTTTAAATGGATACTACCATCTTTTGTTCTTATCGATATTACAGTAGTGTTATAGAGATTACTGGAATTTAAAAAATGAAAAATTCATTAAACATATGTTGATGCTAATCAGATTGAAATA